AAAAAAAAAACGAAGCAAATTTATTGGATAAAAAGAAATGGAACTTGACAAGGAGTCCAGATTTGTGCAATTCTGGTGGGTTTATTTTTTGTTTTTTCTTTTGTTTGTGTGTGTGTAAATTCTTCATAAAAGCAGTCTTGCGGGGATTTTTCAGCATTCCCCTGCTATAGTTGTGCAACTGTTATTAGTTTAGCGAGGTCTGACACCCTTGATTTATTTGGAGTGCAGGCTTTGTGTGCCTTGTTGTCTGTTTTGGATGACAGGGGTAAACGAGAGGCTTTGCTGATTGAATCTTTGGAGAAACGGCAAGCATTTCTGTGTGAAGCAATGTCAAGTAGAATAATGAATTATAATGGAATGGGGCACTTGTTACAACTTGATCAGTCCAATTCGAATATTGTTCGGGAGGACAGTTCTTCTCCTGTATCTGACGTAGAGAACAATCTGACCGTGACTGATATTACAAATGATTCTTTGCCTTTGTCTGGTGCTATACTTATTGATGTTGGGAATAAGGGAGAACAAAAACAAAAATGGAGGCACCTCCAAGCATTTGATTCATGGATATGGAAATTCTTCTACTTAGATCTGAATGCTGTGAAACATGGTAAAAGGTCATATTTGGATTCACTTACCAGGTGTGAATGTTGTCATGATCTCTATTGGAGAGATGAGAAGCACTGCAGGGTATGCCATACCACATTTGAGATTGATTTTGATCAAGAAGAAAGATATGCCATCCATACAGCCACATGTAGGGATAAAGACGACAATGGCACATTTCCGAAGGTCCTCTCATCACAGATCCAATCACTTAAAGCGGCAACTTATGCAATTGAGGTAGGATCTTATCTGTTAGTTGCAGTGTGTTTCCTTGTATGTTTGGTCGATGGATGGGGTTACTAGCATGTGCTAGTTTATCATGACCACCCTCTTCCAATTTGTTATATGGCAATAAAAATTCCTTTTATTGAATGTTCTCTTGTTAGGTGTTTTGCGTGACTCAGATAAATGCGCTGAGAACCCTAGGGAATCATGAAGCGAAGACTGCATTATAAGATCTCAGGAAACTGACGTTAGGTGACTAGGATTTTCTCTCATAATTAGAGCAATAATAGAATAAATTGGAAAATGCTTGAACAATTTTGTGGATTAGGATTAAGGTGATACTTACCATCTTCATTGGATTCTAGGCTAAGCTTCCTAATGCTTCGGAGCGTTTCGCCTATTAGAAACCTCACAATTAACCTTTTGGATTGTAGCCCCTATAATGTATCTTGGGCAATATCATCCTCTATGCACCCATATCCTAAAAAGTAACTTAAAATCTAAATCGTTTCCCCTCTTATTTCATCAGGCACTTATGAATTTAATTTTATGCTTGTGCTACATTTAATTTAATTTTGTTAGATACATATCCATAATACATTATATGTCTCTATTTACGAAAATATTATCGTCCAATGGGGTTGGACTAATTGTTTCCCACCCTCCCTATTTCTGCAGTCGGTTATGCCTGAAGATGCCTTGATTGGTGCTTGGACAAAATCTGCTCATAGGTTATGGGTCAAACGGCTCAGACGCACCTCGTCTTTGCAAGAGCTTTTGCAGGTTCATTATCTTTTATTTACGTCCATCCTTTTTCTTTTATTTTTTAGGGGAAAAGAAATAGAAGCCATGGGGTTAAGCAGCTGCATTTTCTGTATAAACAGTAAGCAGGTTTTTCTAAGCAATTATAAGATCATCATTCTCTGACGATATCTTCATCCAATCTTGCAGGTTCTTGGTGATTTTATTGGCGCCATTAATGAGGACTGGTTGTGTCAATCCAATACTTTACCAAGTTCTTATAACGTTGAAGACATTATCTCATGCTTCACATCATTGCCTCAAACAACATCTGCAGTTGCACTCTGGTTGGTAAAATTAGATGCCTTGATTGCGCCCTACTTGCAAAGAGCTGCTCATGGAAAGGTAGCAAGAAGTCATAATCCAAAGTAAGGTATTGCCTCTTTGTTTCAAAGGTGTTATTTCTCTAATGATATTGAAACGTGATGAACTTGGGGATTTCCTATCTTTTGTTGAATACCTTTTAATTGGTTTTTAT